CGCTGTCCCCCCCCTCCCCCTCTCACCCCCATTACCACCCGACACCCCCATGAGCCCCAGCCCCCAGCCCAGGGCCCCTGGCCCTCTTCCCCACCCACCCCGCAAGGCCTGGAGATCCCAGGATCCCTGCTGATCCTGTGCATGGAGGCCGTGGGTGCGGGGCAGCGTGGTAAGCGGTGCAGATCCAGGCTGGAGGGAGGTGTTGGGGGCTGGGCTGGGCTGGGGCGGGAGGGTATTGCTTTTTGGCAGCGTCTCCCAAAGGAAATGGCGAGGGGTTGGGAGGTGGGGAGGGGGCACGGTGCTAAAGGGGTCCTGAATGTGGTGCCCTGCCCCAGGGCCTGGGGCACGCACACATGCACATTGCACACGCACGTGTGCAAGCAGGACCCAGGAGACCGGGATACTCACTCGTGCACTCAACTGCCCCCTCCTTCAACCCAACCCACCTCCATACAAACACCCAGGACCCAGGTATCCAGGATACACAACCACACACGCGCACAAGTAGGACAAAGGAGTCTGGGATACTCGCACACTCATATGCCCTCACTGTCCTCTCCTCCATCTCACCTGCTCCTACGTACACACAGAAGACCTAGGTATCCAGTACACACACGTACACACACACACGCGCACACACACGTACACACGAGTGCAAGCAGGACCCAGGCATCTGGGATACTCGCACACTAATGTGTGCTCACTGCCCCCCCCACCACAGAAGACACAATTATCCAGGATACACACACACACACGATGCAGACATCTGGGATATACTCATACATGGACACAGGACTCAGGTGTCTGGAATACACACACACACATGCAGGACCCAGGTATCACTCTCTCGCTCACACACACACTCGCGCATGCACGCATGCATGCATGGTTGCACAAACAGGACCCAGGCACCCAGAACACCCCCCCCCCCACCCAAGCGCACGCCATTTAGCCCCCCCCCCCCCCACCTAGGATCTAGACATTTAGGATATACACACAAAGGCACACAGAGGACCTGGGTGTCTGGGATACACACATACAGAAGACCCAGGCATCCTAGACACACACACACACACACACACACACACCTCTTGGGTATCCAGGATACACACGCGTGCACACTCACAGGACCCAGGCATCCTAGATACACGTATGCACGCACGCACATTGAATAAAGGTATCTGGGATCCCCCCCCCCACACACACACACATGCATGCATAGGACCCGGGTATCTGGGATACACACACACTCATACATGCTCACCCCTCGTACTCACACCAACATATACAGAACCCAGGTGTCAAGATGGACACATGTGCAGAAGATCCAGGTGTCCAGCATACGTGTGCACACACATACGCACAACCCAAGTGTCCAGCACATATCATACATGCGTGCGTGTGCACACACACACTCTAGGCATCCAGGGGATGTATCCATCTGTGAACACATACACGCACACACAATCCAGGGGACACCCCCCCCAGGTGTCCAGGACACAAACACACACACCCTGGGGCAGCTGGAGGCTAAAGCAGGCCTGCGGGTGGCTCCTCCCCAGAGCAGACAGGGCCGTGGGGGGGGAGGGCGCTCTCTGCGCCTTGTTGGGCAGCAGGAGGCCCTGGGTTCCCAGTAATTAGCAGCAATTACAATGGGACCTAAGGAACTGACCCTGGGCTGCAACACAGGGGGCCAGAGCCGGGCCCAGGAGGGATTGTGCCCCAGTGCACCACGGGAAAGCCTTGTGTGCCCACGCACCCCTCCCCACCCCCTTAGAGAAGGGAAACTGAGGTACTGCTCTGGCCATGTTGGGCAAATTCATTTGCCTTATCTAGGCTGCTTGCCAGCAGCCTGCATAGTGCCCCCCACTCTCAACAAGCAGCCCCCTGCCCCCTATCCATCTGTACCGGTGCCCCTCACTCCCGACCCGCAGCCCCCTGCCCCCCCACCCCTGCCGGTGCCCCTCTCCCCCAACCAAGCAGCCCCCTGCCCCCTATCCATCTGTACCGGTGCCCCTCACTCCCGACCCGCAGCCCCCTGCCCCCCCACCCCTGCCGGTGCCCCTCTCCCCCAACCAAGCAGCCCCCTGCCCCCTATCCATCTGTACCGGTGCCCCTCACTCCCGACCCGCAGCCCCCTGCCCCCCCACCCCTGCCGGTGCCCCTCTCCCCCAACCAAGCAGCCCCCTGCCCCCTATCCATCTGTACCGGTGCCCCTCACTCCCGACCCGCAGCCCCCTGCCCCCCCACCCCTGCCGGTGCCCCTCTCCCCCAACCAAGCAGCCCCCTGCCCCCTATCCATCTGTACCGGTGCCCCTCACTCCCGACCCGCAGCCCCCTGCCCCCCCACCCCTGCCGGTGCCCCTCTCCCCCAACCAAGCAGCCCCCTGCCCCCTACCCAGCTGTGCCGGTGCCCCCCACTCCTGACCTGCAGCCCCCTGCCCCCCATCCAGCTGTGCCAGTGCCCCTCACTCCTGCTTGCAGCCCCCTGCCCCCTATCCATCTGTACCGGTGCCCCTCACTCCCGACTCACAACCCACAGTCCCCCTGCGCCCCCCCTTGTTGGTGTCCCTCACCCCCTACCCACAGCCCCCTGCCTCCACTTGCTGGCTTCCCTCAGCAATGGCTGGTGGGGGGGCCCCAACTCTGGAGCTGCCACCCCATCTTCTCCCCTACCTGGATGCGGGTGGGGGTTGCTAATGGCAGACAGAGCCCTGCTGCCTCAGCCCTGCAGGTGCCCTGGCCTGGGGCTAAAGCTGCCCCCATCTAACCCCCAGGGCAGCACTGTACTGCACAACACCTGTGCTGAGCACCAGTCCATGGGGACCCCTCTGGGTTTATCCCCTGGCTTCCCTCTTCTGGATCCTTGCGGGTTTGGGGGACAGGGTGTGACACCTGGTGCCCCTTATCAGTGATGGGGGGAGGGCAGCGTCTGGCTTCCCCACCCCCATGAGAACAATGCCCCCCCTGCAGCTCAGTGGGGGAGGGGAGGAGGGAAAAGGGTCCCTGTCCCTTTAAGACCGCCAGGGCAGGGCGCAGGGAGCAGATGGCACGGGGGGCCTCCTTTGTGTGGCTGCACAAAGGGGGGGCACCCCTTCCCCCCAGGCCTCCCCACCAGGGCCTGGACCACGTGACCCCCCATGCAGCCTAGGGCCTGGGGGCACTGGGGGGTGCGGGCAGCTATCAAAGCCTGGCTAGAAAAACAGGCGTGTGGATGCGTGTGAGGGGGGTATGGCTCGGTGCTGGGCCCTGTGTTTGGGGGCGTGGGATGGCATGACGGGGGAGTGCAGTTGCAGGCGTGTGCGTGTGCGTGGGATGCCTAGGCTCTGTGTGTGTGCGTGTCTGTGCATGTGTGTCCCAGACGCCTAGCTTCCCTGCGCCTGTCTGGCTGCAGGGGTGCTGCTGCGTGTGCAAACGTGTACGTGACCCCAGTCTGCCACTCCCCCTCCCGGCAGCCCAGCTGCTCAGGGGCCCTGGGGCAGCCCTGGGGCCTTTCATCTCAGGCAGGACAGGGTGGGTTGGGGCCAGGGCTGGGGACAGCACCACAGAGTGCGGTCCCCCACCCCCAGCACACTCTGAGCGCCACACATGCGAGCCCAGGCCGACGGGTGGATGCAGGTGTGCACATGCACCGCCACGCATGCACCTATGCAAATGCCTGCACGTGCACGTGAGTGTGTGCACACAAAGACGTGAACACGTGTGCCCTCAGAGGTAGGCGCATGCTTGCACGTGTACATGCCCCCACATGTGCCCCCACATATGTGCATGCAGAGACGCACACAAGTCAATGCACCTGCATACACACATCAATACATACACCAATGCACATGCACATGCCAGTGCACACAAGTATACACACATTTCTCTGTGTGCATACACACACAAACAGGTACGTGTGTGTACATATGTGCCCTCACATGCTTGGCTACACACACAGACGCTTGCACATGAGCCAATGCCCTTACATGTGTGCATCCCCCCCACGCCCTCCCCCCGCAGCTGCGTCCCTGCACACGCCATGGCCTGGCTGGCTCGGCTCCTTTCCCCTGTGGGCAGGGGGGAGGGGGCAGGCCAGGCCCCGTGGCTAAATTTAGGTGCCTGATTATAGCCTGGGGCTGAGAGAGCTGGGCACAGCCCGGCCCTGGAGCAGGCTGAGCCTGAGGGGAGCACCTGCAGCCTCAGAGTCTCCCCTGCAACCTCCCTGTGTGTATGAGCTCTCACACACCTTGAACCCAGGTGTCTGGAACACACATGCACACACATACACAAACACAACCCAGATGTCCAGGATAGACACAAACACATGCACAGAACCCAGGTGTCCAGGACACACACACACAGATACATGCAGAATCCAGGCATCCAACACACACACCCAGCCCTAGCCCCCTCCCTGCCGGGGCCTGGCCCTGCCCCCTCGCACACGTGCTTACACGCACGTACTCACCCCTGCCCCCTCCCCACCCCTCCGTGGGAAACTCCTCCCTCCACACTACCATCCACTACTGCCCCTGCGGGGGGCAGGGAAGCCAAGGCAGGGCCCCCACCTCCCAGGCCCAGCAGAGGTGTGTGTGTGTGTGTGTGGGGGGGGGGGGGCTTGCCCGGGGAACCGGGG